CTTTCTGCTCCCCATCAAAAGCTACTGGGAACAGAAAGAAGAGATTTAAATGGCTCAGAATCATTTAAACCCCTGTTTTCTGCTCCCCGCCACTTAGCTGTTTTTCATGAAGAGAAGAAAGCAGGGGTTTTCTGCTCTTCACAAAACACCACGAACTGCCTAAAATTCATGGACGTTCATGGTGGCTCTTCAGTTCATGAACCACGAACCTGCCAGAATTTGTCACAAACTGTTGTTTGTGGGCTGGTTCCTACCCATCTCTGTCAGTGATAGATGGATGCAAGGTGGTGGAGCCAGTAGAGGCAATGAGAAAGTCTAGTCATATGGGGGGGGGGGGGAATTGGTGAGAAGGATGATGCCTGTTTGTACCTGTGCAAGTTTCTTCACAAGGTTGATGGGTTTCCATTCTCTATGGCTAAATGTGGTACCTTCCATGGAGGCAGATCAAGATGGGTAACTAACACAGCTACCCATCTTGATCTATCACACACTGTAGTTACTATTACAGCAGATCCCAGATGTTAGAGTTTTTGGCTGTGTTCTGCTGAACAGCCCTGTATGTACACTGGCATGGCTCTTTTTGTAGCAGGAACTGCTTTGCATATTGTGTAGCAGGAACTGCTTTGCATACTGTGGGCAGCCACTGAATTCCTCTTCTCAAGCAGGCAGATCAGGAGAGGCAAAAGCTTTCTTCAAAACCATCAACTAAGTCATCTGGGGCCATTATAATGGGCACCTTTGAGGCTGCAGGCATCTTTGGAATTCTGAGAGGTGGTGGTGAGTGACATCCCAAAACGGCTGCCATGGGAGGCAGAGCACTACAGGAAAAACACTTATGCATGGAGAGATCCTCATAGGGTTATAACAGGGCAGGTTCCTGTTTCTCTCCCTCCCCTCTCTGTGGTACGTGAGGCCTACCTTGCCAGGCCACTATTGGAAATAGGAGACATAAACACCCCCCTCTAAATTCCCACCCAGCCTCTCCCCTCCAGTCAAGGAATGCAGGCTTCTACACTACACTAAAAGGGTGTGCTTGAGTGTTTGTGCACCAGAGGGAAAGTGCTTCCTGCTCTGTTTTTTCCTAGGTTCATGAGTTACTGTGTCTGTAGTTACTGGATCAAGCCCAAAGAGTTTATAACAAACAAGACGGGGACCCGCGATACTCGCGGGGGGGAGAAGAGCTCCGTCTCCTCCATCCCCCCCGCTCGATCTCCCCGAAAAGGTGGCGGCGAGGCCGGTCCTCCCCCCCGCCTGGCTCCGAGGCAGAGGCGGCGGCGGAGAGGCCGGTCCTTCCCCTCCCCTTGCCGGGCACGGCAGCGGCAGCGAGGCTGGTCCTCCCCCGCCTGCCCGGCTCCGAGGTGGGGGCGGCAGCGGGTCATGGAACGCTCTTGCACTTTCGGGGGGATTTAAAAATCCCCCCGAAAATTTCTTCTACTTTTAGCATTTTTGTGCACACGTGGGGACCGGCCCACGTGTGCACAAACCTCCCCCTCCCCCCCAAGTGCCCCCGGAGCGCTGATTTAGCGATCCGCACTCTGGGGGCAACTTGGCTATTAGATATATAGATGATAAGAAGGTATTGTTAAGGATGCCTTATCATTCCCAACTCTTTCAGTGGGTGTAGGTTAAGAGAAGATGATGTGAGCAAGCTGTTGATGGAGAGTCCCTAAATATTTTTATTGATGGCTTTAATCAGTCTCCTTCTACTTAACTGTCATTCAGAGGTAATTAACATGACTTGTGTTATTAAATCTTTTGTTCACTGCAGCGGCTTGAAGTGGGGCAGCTCCTAACAGCAGCTTTGACAAAGCACAAGAGAATTCCGTTAAAAAGTTGTGTTTAGTAATTGTAGTCATCGTGTCAGGCCATAACTGACTTGGAGCTGAAGGATTTTTGTGAGATGAGTAGCCGTGCCAGCAGGGACCCAAGTCTCTTGGGCCAGCCGTACTCTCATTAAGATTTGCCGCTAGCAGTGGCAGTGTTCGGCAAGTATGTGACGTGCATTCTGTTATTGTATGCTTGGCTTGTCAGCCTGCAGCTTTCTGACACTCACTTATGTCACTCTTTATTCAGAGAGGAAGAAGCTTTTGATAATTTGACAAGACAAGCTCTTAAACGATCTAGGTCATGGCCTTCACTGTCTGTGATTGTGAACATATTTCCTGAAAGCCCTGTCACTCATCACAGCTACATTTTCTCCCGGGGAGCCATAGGCCTGTCCTGGTCTCTTGTCAGCTCATACATTTTGGTTATTCATATACCAAATACAGGGTTGAGGTTTTTTTTCCCCATCCCTCCCCTTCACTTTTGCAAATGCTAGCATGTTAGTAAGGCTAATCCTTTCTCCTGTGTTGTGTTCCCAGCAGGGTTGTGTTCAAGGGTTCCCTCTAGTACAAGGCAGACAACTGGCCAAGGGGAGCTGAAAAGGAGGAAAGGCCGCTTAGTGCTGTTTTTGTGTTTGTTCATTGTTGTGGAAATATGAGAACTGGTGGCAAGGGCCTTGTCTATTGAGCACTTGAGCCTTGGTCTGCTGTCAGGGGCTGTTTAAGATTGTTTTATTTTCTTTGATGTTCACATTTGAGAATAGGGAAGTGGGAATTAAACAACAGATGCACTAAGCTGTTGTTCTCGTAAAACAATAATTAGCACATGATAAAATTCAATATGGGTCAAACAGAACAATATAAACTCTTTGATTCATCTGATGTCACGAAGTTGCTTGGTTTGTTTTTAAAAATTTTTTGAAGGCTCATCCATCCCAGTTGTGGGTGGGAAAATATATAAGGGAGGAAATCGCTTGTGCAGAATTTAGGAAACGATGCTAGCAAGAGTAGAGAGATTTAAAGGTGCGTTTGGTGTAAAAGATGGGTGTGGCTTCCTTGACGAGTGGGCACTTGGTGTTCATACAACTAAATGTTGGTAAGGTCAGACCACTGTGCCAAGAAATAAATGCAATATTATTCTGATGTAGCTGTATTCTACCAGAGCTCTGTACATTTAAAAAACAAACTGAGGGCAGTTCCATGGTTAAATGCTTCTAAATAAGAGAAATCACAGGCTCAGTTGTTTTTGAATTTGATGATGCTTTCTTCCATAACAAGCCTTCCTGCTTCGTTTGAGCAATCTGCATTCTGTAGCATTTGTTAATTACAATCTTTGCAAAGGGGGGTCATTTGGTGATACGAAAACAGTGCAAACTGTTTCTGTAGATTTGATGCAAGGTATCAGTCAGCCATCTCAAATACTGAAAGGTCAGTTTTAAACAGCCTCTTCCATAGTTATCCTCTTTGGGGATAGCTTGTGTGTGTTTTTATGTGTATACACTCTACTAACAACCTGAAAGCTCAGTCCTAAACATATTTGCTTGCAAGGCAATCCCATTGAAAGTGCTTGTAAGTGCAACTTAAATGCCATTTTGTTGAAGAAAATGCATTAACATTTGAATTTCATGTGAATAAAAAGAAATTGTGGCAAGCACGTTTCTGTTTCTCTTTTTGTCCCAAGGCTAAAAATGAACATATTGGGCTTTGTCCTCCTTAATGTTTCATTAAGAGGAAGGAAGTCTAGGTTTATTTCAATGCAACAGAGTTCTAAAACAAAAGACACCCTTATACACAGTGTGATACAGTTATTATTATAGGTCCAACCAATCTTTTTATTAAATTTCTCATAAGTAGAGGTCACATTCGACATTCCAGCATAAGATAACTCACTGGCTGTAATTTTTCAGCCTCATTATTTTAGAAACACTGTGATGATCAGAAACTGCCTAGAACTCATACATAAACAGTCTGCATGCTTATCCTGGTAGTAAAGCTGCAGAAATGTGACATACTGCACAATCCATGTATGGTTTGCAGGTGGCAGAATATTTTGATAGTACTGAGTGAAAAAAAAAAACTTTTTAAAGTAATAAATTAAATGTATATTTCAGTACAAGTTGCAAGTACTTTTTTTCATCCAAGAGTGTTTGAGTATTTTAGCTGGAAGGGGAACTGTAATACCATCTATGGTTTCTTTTATAATATTGTGATGTCTGAAAAACAAAGAGCTGTATTTGGGTGAGTTACACCATCACACAAAGAATTGCTTTTCTGTACCCCTCCTCCATCTGTAGGTGCTAGTCTCGTGTGTCTGCTTAAAATAATGTCTTATGAGATCACTTTGAATTAACGTATTAATGTACATTTACAATATGGCTGTTTTTACAAGCATCCTTGAGGAGGAGATTGTACAGTAAATTGACATGTTATGTTTGTACAGGAGAAGTTGTAAAGAAAATTAAAAGCTTGGAGCTGGATGCATTAATACAATTTTAAGATATGAAGTTGAAAGCAGAAAAAAAGCTTCTTTTTGAAAGTACATGCATGTGTAACTGAGAAACAAGTAGTACTTGTGTGCTTTCTTCTTGTACTTGAAATAGTATGCAAAGAAATTTTCATTATAATTCAATGCTTTAAGTGTAGTATGGAAAAAGAGCGAAGTAGAATAATAAAGTCTTGTAAACTTAAAAGCAATAAAGAGTTGTACTCCTTGTTTATACAGGTCATTTTACTTTGTTCTGTCAAGGATTAACTACATGCAATTATGATATTTTCATTAGATTATAGGCAGAGTCAAAACCAGTAACATGGCTTCAGAATCTGAATGTCACGTATGACACATATTAACTTCTAGAATGTTGCAAAGGTCCTGCTGTGGTTCATCTGGCATTTTGTTTACACTTGCAAACTTGTCTTCGAAACTTTGAAACTTTAGCAAAAGAAACGGAGAGAAAAAACTGTTACTGGCTTTCTGACAATGGCAGGGAGTGTGTTAAACCAGTGTAAAATTCAATTAAACTGTCTAGCCAGGTTTTTGAAGCTGAAATGCAGACCCTTTCAGTTAAGCTTCTTATTTTCCTGTGACCGACACCGGTGGATACTGTGTTATGCCAAAACCAACAGGCTGTAAAGCACCTTGTTTCATGCTCCCAGCTGATCAATATTTTTATTTTCCAGGCTTGCCCAGAAATATGGAGGCAGTATCACCTAACAGTAAGTAGAAACACCTTTTTTATTTTCTTCTACACCCAGCCTATTTACTCTTCTGTGAACTGCTGACCATAAAATATAGACAAGAATCTTGTGAAGGAAGATAATAAATATCTGAAGAGTTTTTGAACTGAAGAATGCATGAATATACTCTTGGGGATTTTTTTCCAGCACTCTTTGAAAACAGTTTATGTAACAGAAATCATTCTGTGATGCCATCACGTCACTTTGCTGCCCATAGCTTCATCAACAGTTCATAAGTAGACTAATAATATCCTTTGATGTCTTACAGAAGTACAAAGCAGCACTATTACTCCTACCTTTCCAAAAACTGTACTTTTTGTCTTCACCTTTTCCAAGAAAACGACTTTGCCTTTGATTCAGCATTTCAGTGAATGGTATCTGATTATTAGAAATGGACAGTTATGGATGTCTCTTAATGAGGAAATCAATTGAACCTTGTTTAGGAGGCTTTATTTCTAATAACTGCTCAACACATACATTTCAGTATTCCTACTCCACTTTGTTTGCAAAGCTTCAGAAAAGCAGAACCTTCACTGTTAACTGTTTTAGGGCAAGGTTAATGTTTTCTACAAACTTTGTGCAAGATTTATATTTGGCTTTTCCATATAATTATAAACTATTAGGGATTAATTTGCTCATGAGAATCTTGAATGGCTTCTAAAAATAACATAAGCTTAAACAGTAAACTGCTGTCACCTTTAAATATGTTGGAAAGTTAAATATTTTCATTTATATATGGCACAAGGTACTTTCAAATATAATCTTACTGACATTTTAGAATATTATGACTTTTCCTGTTTTCTCTTTAGAAAAATACTGATGTTTTGTGATGTCTCTATGTATGATTTCAAACACATGTTTTTTTTAAATATTCCCTTTCTTTTTTTGGTTATTAGAAGAAACATGAAGTCTAAACAACTTGGATAAATGCTTCAAAGTACATTGCATTTAGCTTCACTTTTGGCTATCAGATTCTAGGGGGGGAATCAGTTCTTATAATGGGCTTTGAAAGTTGTTTTGTAGCACCTTCTTACAAGAACAATTTTACAGCATTATCATTTTATAGGAACCTTCTTTTTCTCTACTGTCAGTTTGAAAGATAATCCAGGATTGCAGTATGTTAGGACAGTGTTTTCCACAGCACTTTCTGTGTTGATACCCATATTGGTGGCTGTATTTGTCTCTTGATGTCCTAGCAAATCTTCCTAAAAAGAGTAAAATAATTTCATTATCAGTGCCTTTGGATTTTTTTAAAAAATTCAACCTAAAAATTTTAAACCACCATTTCTAAATCTTCTGTCAATGCAAGTCATATTTTGATATCTACTACTTCATAATATCATATGCTGGATACTTCTTGGTATAACTCAAAGGTAGGCCAAACCCAAGAAATGAAAATACTAAATGTCATTTTTATATTAGCCATTAGAAATAAGTGAAAGAATAAATAAACATTAGTTTGTATTTACATTAATGATAAAACAGCTTATTCAATACTTGTCTCCAAGTTCAGTCTAACCTAGTTGTAATGTTTCTTAATGAACCAGAATGCAAAGTATATATCAAATTTGCGTAACCAAAACATTTTTATATCGTAAAAACATATACCATGTAGATAATCTTTTAATCCCGCTTATTATGCATGTTTGTCAAAGGGTTATATAAAATGTGTGGTTAATTTCTCATGCATAGGCAAAATGTCCCTAATTAATCGTCATGAATGCTTGTTCAGATCAACATAACACCATATTTGTCACTTCTGAGGGGTTTTTTTGTGATTTTATTCCTGATTTGTCCCTTTACTAAGAGATGGGGTGCCATCTATTGACTCATTGTATTTATTGCACTCAAATCTTTGCTTCAGTACAGATAAATGATGTATAAATAATGTAGCTTATTATTTTGGGGTTGAGTCTAAGATTTTGCTTATATTTAGCATCTTGTGAATTTTTAGGTCTCTGAAGAAAACTTATTATTACAACAGCTATAGGTTTCTGAGTGGAGTTAAGCTGCCATGATACTTAATGCTATAAAGCAGCTGTAAGAACTAGTAGTAAGAAATGTGTTATTTTGTGTCTTGCAAATAATACAATTTAATTCTTTGTGGTAACAGCATTCTAGGGTTCAGCCAATACAGGTGTCAAAGAAATCATTGTATAAATTAACAGATTAATGGGGGAGGGCAACATTGTAAAGCTGTTTAAAAGTACTGTATAAACTAATGATCACAATAATTGCACAGTAATAGTGAGTAGATTGCGACAACAGCTGCTTTACTGACCACAAATCAAAATGTCGGGTGTTGGCAAAGATAGGCTTAGCTTTGACACATACAACATCAAAGATTTCAGAAATTCGGAGTGATTTAAATTCAGAGAGGTTTTGTTTGTTTCTAGCACTGTGTTAACGTTCAGAGGTGCTGTTTCCAATCAAGAAATCAGTGTTGCTGGTCGGTGTTCAGCTACCCTCTAGGCCATGGTGCTTGACCCTAAAGTCATAACTCATCCATTTATTCATATTTGTAATAAATTTGGTTACTATTTGTACACAAATATGTCATTTTTGAACAGTTTCTGCATTTCATTTATAACTTGTGTACTGTTAAAGCTCTGTGTTAAGATAATTTACATTTTGAGTTGCAAGACTGACCACATTACATTTTTCATTGGGCAGATGAGGCCTAGCTCAGGTTCTCCCGAACAAGTAGCTCCTTGACAACTCTGGTACTTTTGATCTGAAAATGTAGACTTTCAGGAAAGAGTGTGAACACTGAGTGTGAACACTGAGTGTGATTTATAGGAGGATGTAAGGTTTGGATCCTTGTTGTTTTAGCGTTGGAAGTGTGGGTTATTTCCCCCATGCCTATTATGTCCATTATTAGGGAACTGTTAGCCCTGGGTGCAGTTTAGAAGGATACCCTGGCAGAGATCCAGAGAGATCTCTGTGAATGCAAAGGGCTGTGTATTCCAGGTTTTTCTCCTTATAGCCTTAGCTACTAACATCCCATTGGGTCCTGTTGTGTAGGAACCCTAAACCACTGGGGGAGGGTTCAGAAGTTGGAGGGCAGTCAGAAAGGGGGAAATGGAAAATCTTATGCAGATGTGGTACTTTAGATTTCAGCCATTATATTTTTTCTGGTACAGGTTTCCATGTATCTGCTCCTGTATTTAGGAAACTAGGTCCCAATTAATATGTTTATGATTGTTTAATTGTAGGATCTTATTCAAATATTTTTCATGTCATTGCCATTAATTTTTCCTGCAATTAATTCTCCCTCTAAAGAGGGATGGGGAGTTTTTTAACATGTTACAGTACTCGTGTATCTGCTGAATGTGCAGCTTGATAGCTGTCTTGTCTTTATGGTCATTACATGCTGACTGCTTTAATTTCTTGGCCAAGGATGTATGGTGCAGTGAATGACTTGGGTCCCTCCCTAACATCTAATGTAAAATCCCATGGTAAGTATAGCAAAATTTCTTTATCTGAAAGAAAAGAAAATTGTCATACAGCATCGCTTCCTAGAGCAGTTCTTTATTTTTCTGGTTTTCTGTTGACCATCCAGCAATAGGTACAGTTTTTCAGAGATGGCATTTGTGATCAAAGCAAAAGCAAACAATACCTGGCTATAGTTGTAGCACTAAAATTAGTGTATAATATAAGTCAGTGATCTGTAATATGCTCTCTCAGCTCTGAAATCTGTAAGTATATATATACATACATTTCTCTGTAAATATGAAAACCCACAAAACTTATCACATGAAGAATGGTTAAAATATGTATGGTGCCTAAATATGTACAGTATCTTCACTGGAATGAGCCATCATCAAATTATGCTAAATTGAGACTTCACGTCCATGGTGTGCAACATGGAAAATTGCATTTGTTTTCTGCCTTTCCTTTCGGGGAAACAAGATTTCAGTGTGCTTTAGAATGATTTATAGCATAAAATACACATTTACTATTCCGTATCCAGAAGACATTGTTCTGTCTTAAAGTGTACACTACGTATAATGGTACTCTACGTTATTATTCAGATATTCTGTATTTCAGAACATATTCAAAACCAGATGAAACTTTGCAAATGAAGAAGTCAGTTGCTTTTGTAGTTATTTTTAACCTGCTTTTTTGGTAGATGTAATGTTTTTCCTTTGGGGAATGATAATTTCTCCTGTTTCCTTGATCTGTGCAGGCAGTAGGGCTCCCTTCCCCCATCTGCTGCCATCGCTGCCGTCATTCCTCATTTATATTAAAACCCCTTGCACCAAGATGGCCACCAACAGAGTTTTACAACCATCAGAATTTTTTTAGCTACCAGACACCATCACTTAACACGCTTTCTGACAGTGTGTTAATCTTACTTTTAATCCACTTACATTAAAAAAGGTGAACCAGGAATTTTCTGTTGTGGTATGCATATGTAACAGAAATGGAGGCATGTAAAAGAAATGAAGGCACAAAACATCTTTTGTGCTTAAATTTTGCGGTTGTATTTCTTTGTGCACCATTATGAAAATTCTGCCTGGCCCACCACTTTCCCCTCAGAAATAGAAATGCAAGCAGCCCTGCTTTTATGTCTTCATGAAGTCATGGTTAGAAAGAAAAGGGCTGCTTAAAATACATAAAACTGCATGTGTAGTATAGGAGAAATAGCCCTACATTTCAAAGGACGAAACTAGTTCTCCACAAGATTGCTGCAGAGGAAGGATGATTTGGCTTTTTGGCTGGATTATTCAAAGAGATTGGTTCCTCTTAACTGCACCAATGCCTGTCCTCACCTCAACTAAGACATTTGAACATATAAATCTTGTAATTGTTGTTATATTTTGCTGATGTTTATGAAAGGATGGCCTGGGCTGGCTTTTGTTTAAAGGAATCTTTAAAATAGCAGTGTTGCTTGGTCTAGCTTTGCTCATACTTCATATATGCAACATTCTGCTGGCTTTTCATCCAATCCTGTACTTGGGAATAAGTGCCACTGT